TCCCTCTGACTTATTTCACTTTGCATTTCTTAATCTCTCAAGCGATAAACTTCCTAATTAGTCTATGTTCAAAACCTTTCCATAGACTTCTCAAGAACTTAAGATAATATTCTTTTAAACTGATCTGCAAGAAGCTGAATGATCTTTTTTATACTTTCTAATCTTACTGCATTCCACTCTCCCTTATTTCTTATGCTCCAAGTACAATGATCTTATTAAGTTCTCTCAAGCGCCTCAATTTCTCTTACTTCAGGGCATTTGTGTTTGCTACTAGCTCTGTCTAAAAGAGTCATCCCTCTATTATTTGCTAGAAAAGTTCCTTCACATTAGATGTCATTTCATCTAAGAGATGGCTTTGAGTAAAGAATCTGAAGAATGCTCCCATTCTCTCTCACAGCTCCCTGTACTTCCTTTCATAGTGATCATCACAATGTGTAATAATTCATTTCTGCATTCAACAGATATTTATTAAAAACAATTATGGCTCAGGTATTTAATTAGGTATTTTGAAATAGAGTGATCAACAAGACTGACCAAGTTCCAAACTTCATGGAGTTCACAATCAAATAGGGAAGAGAGAAAGAAAACCATTTTGCAAATGAATGCTTAATATAATGCCAGAAGCGATAAGTGCTATGATCTAAAATCGGCAGGAGAATAGAGAATAATGAGGATAGGCTGTGGGGGGCATTAACTTAAATAAGATGATTAGGTAAATCCTCTCTGAGGTGACAGCATTGGATTAGGAACCCAACAGAAGTGAAAGAGCAACCAATAAGAGGATTTGATCAAGAAAACTTTCAGGCAAAGAGAATAGTGAGTACAAAGTCGTTGAGGTAGGAATAAACTTGGCATACTTGAGGAAAGGCAAGAAGCCTGGAATGCCTGGAGCAGACTGAGCATGGTAAAGATAATTTTAAAAAGGGGTCAGAGATGTAGGCAGAAACTTAGTCATGTGGTGCTCTCTAGGGCAGGTAAAGAATTGGGATATTATCATAAGTAAGATGGCAAACCACGAAAGTATATTGAAGAAGAGAGTGATAGATAAGATATAAGTTGTACAAGGACAAGAGTAGAAGGAAGAAACCAGTTAAGAGACTACCGACTAGAAGTGAGATTAAGTTAAACTGCACTCGATTATAGATGCATATTATATATATACGCCTACCACGTATATTGTACAATTTCAGAATATTTTTGTTTATATCATGACAGAAAACAAGAGAACTATTTCCCAACTCAGGCTAGTATTACCCTATGCCAAAGCCAGAGAAAGACATCACAGGAAAAGGAAACTACAGACTATTATTCCTCATGAACACGGATGCGACATATAAATAGAATTATACACCATGACCAAGTGAGGTTATCCCAGGAATGAAAGGTTGTTTCGACATTCAAAAATCAATTAATGTGATATACCAAATTAATAAAACACATATATCATATAATCATCACAAAAGATGCAAAAAAATGCACTTGACAAAATTCAACACCTTTAATGAAAACAATTTTCAGAAAATTAGGAATAGAAGGTAAACTTCTTCATCTTAATAAGGGACGTCTTACAAAATCCTCCAGCCAACCTTATACTTAGTAGTGAATAACTGAATGCTTTCGCCTTATATTACTTTATAGACAAAAATACTACTGTAGTACTTTTCAATCTGGAATCCACTACCAGGAATAAAGCAAGGATGTCAGTTTACACCACTTTGTCTACAGTTTAGGTTTACAGCCAACGCAGTAAAATAAAGGAAAAGAAATTAAAGGTATGTAGATTAGAAAGGTAGAAACTGTCTTCATTTGCAGATTAAAATGAGCTTTTTGTAGAAAATCCAAAGGAATCTATAAAAAAGCGACTAGAATTTATAAGCAAGTTTAGCAACGTCCCATGATTACAGGGTGGAGCAGGGAGCAACTTGCGTATAGAGGAACGGGATAAGAATTACAGTGGATTTCTCATCAGACTCCTTGCAAGAACCCAGTCCTAACTTTCAGGCATTTTCAACATTGCTTCTTTCAGCTCAGCACACTGCTAACTTCTGACTTTACGTGAGTATTTAGAAGTACCTGTACTGTTCCTCTCAATAATGGAGATGCGCTTTTAATCCATGTGTAGACTCAAAACCTACAAGCTGTCTTCTACTCTGGATTTGCCCTCCACACCAAATTCATCATCAACACTGCTTTTTTATCTTTTCCCATCCCACCCTTTTGTCCTATTTCTACTGCTGTAAAATTAATATGGGAAATTGTCACCACACTCTTATTTTTCCCATCACCAATTACTCAGCTCTGCAAATTACCCTGCACAATGCTATCAGGCAGCTTTCATGAAATAATATTTGATCATATAGTTTCACAATTCTCTAAACATCAATGAAATTACTTTCCCATGTTACATAAGGAAGCAAATCTCCTTAGACTTCTATACAACGTTTCCCCAACATTTTCAACACCCTATCATTCTGAGTTAAATATGCCTTGTGATATGCTCTTCCAACCAAGTATACAAGGCTCTTTTTTCTTTCTGATCAAGTCATATACATTTTTCAAAGCAGTTCAAATGTCACTCTACCATCTAGCTTTTACCTAGATAGTATCAACTCACAGAACTCCCAATTACTGTGTATATTTTCTGTTCCAACTACTTAGCACTAAACTACACTACTTGGTAATGTTCTTATATATGTATCTTTCCCATAGTATTTGTGTGTGTGTGTGGTGTGTGTGTGTGTGTGTGTGTGTGTGAGAAAGATCAGCCCCGAGCTAACATCTGTGCTAATCCTCCTCTTTTCTGCTGAGGAAGACAGGCTCTGAGCTAACATCTATTGCCAATCCTCCTCCTTTTTTTTTTTCCCCCAAAGCTCCAGTAGATAGTTGTATGTCATAGTTGCACATCCTTCTAGTTGCTGTATGTGGGGTGTGGCCTCAGCGTGGCCGGAGAATGGGTGCGTGGGTCTGCGCCCGGGATCCGAACCCAGGCCACCAGTAGCAGAGTGCACGCAATTAACCGCTAAGCCACGGGGCCGGCCCTCCCGTAGTATTTTAAGTCTTAGAGGAAAGAGATGGCGTGTCCCTTGCTCTGAATTCCTTAAGAACCTAGGCCAGGTCAATATTTATTCATTCAACAAATATTTAGAAGCTGCCACCTATGTAACTGGTATTATGGTAGACTTTGGAGATATATTGCAATAATCAAGAGAGACATGGTCAATTTCTGAAATACATGTTCACTGACAATCTATCACTACAACATTCAAGTTGCTCTCATTCTGACATCAGCTATGGGAGCAAGTAATAATCATAGGTATGGTGACTCCAAGAATGAAAAATAGAATATTCACAGTAAATTACAGACTATTAGAGGATAATAATGAATTGTTTTGTACAAGAAAAAGAACAAATGTACTAAGAAATTCTATTTATAAAAGGTAAGCAGCAATTCTGTGGATACAAGTATTTGAAATATTAAATTAATAATCTAAGCAAGATACAGTGAAAACATGAATATACAGTGAGAAACAGATCCAGGAATAAGTTTCATAAACATTCAGAAAGGCAAACTGTCAGGAGTGAACTTTGATTGAAGGTAACTATAAGAATAAAGCAGTCTAGGATGACTTCTAAATTCCAAGATTTTTTCGGTCAGTGATACTTGAACGGAAATAGTAGTAAAGGAGAATAAAATAATGTCTGTGCATTGGCCATTTGGAATTTTAATGCCGCCAAGGGAAAATGACACTCAGCCTCCTGAAACATGGCAGTTTGTTTTAGTTATAGTTGTGCCTAGGTGAGTCTCAAGGGTTGAAATGAGAAATTTCAAGCCTCTTGGCATGCGGTACAGAAAGAAAGCATGTGATGGATGTTAATCCTTGGTTTCACATCTTTTGACCCAACCGAACCTCTAGGTAATGAGTTAATTCATTTCTTTAAATCTTGAAAACAACTAAGCATCGAAGAAAATGCATCTATTACTCATCTTCCCTTTGTGAAGAGAAGCAACACATCTTAAACCAAAGTCTAATAAACCTGCTGAACTTGAAGCCGGCAGCTTTAGATAAGAATTCTGGGAATTTTCCTGACTTGTTTCTGTTACTCTTCTCGAATTTCTTTACCACAAAATTGTTGTGGAGGGGAAGAAGAAGGGGAAGAACAGGAACTGTTTATGAGCGAACCCGCAAAATGCTCGTTGCATCTATGCAACCCTGAGCGCATTATTGGCACCACACTGATACTGCGCTGCAAACTTGTCTATGGACTTTCCCAATCTGCTCTTTAAATTTTGAATCAAATTCAGGAGATATTGTCTGAAAAGGAACGCCTCCTTTTTCAGCCACCCACTGGGCATGTCAAATCCTAGTATTATCTCCACCCTCCCCCTAGTGTTCATGTGTGTGAGCAGACATTTACCTTCCTCATCAAATCATGGTAATGAGTAAAGCAGAACTCTGCCTTTTACAAGGGAAAACGTGTAGCATTTCCTCGGTGCAGCCCCGGGGGGCGGATGGGAAAGTTGGAGGAAGAATTCAGTTAGCCGATGGCTGCACTGAAGGCATAAAGCCTTGTGACGTCGCATGCACGCACGTGGTTGGCTGGGTATCTTAGTTTCGCTGTAGGAGGGGCGAGCAGCAGGCGGTCTCTGGCTCCGTGCGGTCCTGCCGCAGGAAGATTTGGGCTCTGGAGCCAGGGTAAGAGTTCTGGGAAACGAAATGACTAGGGCCTGGGGGATGGGGTGAAGACAGGGGAGAGAAAGGGTGAGGAGTGTTCTGATCCTCTGTGCATTTTCTGACATTCTGGTTGGCACATCCGCTGATTCAGTGCATAGGGATAGAGTGTTCAGTTTTGTTGCTTAGCATGCATTCACCGAAGAGTTTCAACGTGCCGGTATGTTTATTCTGTTGAAACTCTTTACCTATGGTAAAAAAGAAATCATTCTATGTACATGAAATGCTCTAAGTCCTAGCGCAAGCCTGAAATCATTTCTAAATCTGGCCTTTCATGAGGTCAAATTAAGAACTTTAGTTTCTTGGGCCGCCCCGTGGCTTAGCCGTTAAGTACGCGCGCTCCGCTACTGCCCGCGGGGGTCGGATCCCTGGGTTCCGATCCCAGGCGCGCAGGGATGCGCCCCTTCTCCGGCCATGCTGAGGCCACGTCCCACATACAGCAACTAGAAGGATGTGCAATTATGACATACAACTATCTACCGGGGCTTTGGGGGGAAAAAAAAGGAGGAGGATTGGCAATAGATGTTAGCTCAGGGCTGATCTTCCTCACACACAAAAAAAGAACTTTAGTTTCTTATTTATGTTTTTGAATGTGCAGTTATTAGAAACTGTATATTACAAACAATTAGAATTGTGGTTGTTGACGCTTCTAGACTTCAGTCATCTACTGACTTCCAGGAAAAGACATGAAGAGATATAGGTGTGACCCCCAAATCCATGTAGTAAGTGCTCACTGTGTGGGTGACTACTCATAGAAATTATCTTCTAAAGAGTTTATGGGTTGGAGGTCTAGATAAAGAGTTGGGAGTCTTGAAAATATGCTGTGATATTCCAAGGAAGTTAGTCAACCAACAGTTAATTGAACTTCTTTAAGAAACCTACTTCCTTGTTAGTGTTTGAAGGAAATACCAGGACACGAAACTTTGAAACCATAATCTGATTTCAGAAGGAGATTATGGTTTTAATGATGAGATCAAGTAAATACAGTAAAGTATTAGAGAACAATACTTAACAGTGAGTCAGCTTTTAAGTTTGTGATAGAGATTATTGATACCATCTATCTATTCTTCACATCTTTACTTTAAATATCCTCTTTTTCCCTATTCTAGGATTATGAAACCATACACCATCCTCTTCCTGTAGACACCCTAGGAGAACCATGTTATCCTGGTCTTAAAACACCTGCAAGAAAGGGCACAATATTTTTCCACTTGTAAGTAGCAAGGAAAAAAATGGCAGCCAACTTTTCAACTATGTATGAATGTGGGTTTAAAGGAATAAAATATAATCATTTTTTCTTTAAATATACTCTCACCAAAAGTGTCATTGCTTTCATTGATGCAACAAAGATGATTATAGGTTGGGTGAGTGAGGGTGGGGAGAGAGGGGAGTGGTGAGGAGGAGTATGTGGCATCATGGTCCATTGAATTACGGAAGTGTGGGTCGTCTAATGCAAACCTATTGAATGACTGAGCTAAACAGAATCTTCAGGCTCATGTGTATGTCTTTCAATGAGCTAATGAGGATGCAAGATGCTAATGAGGAAGCCCAGATGTTAGATCATTTTCCTGAAGTTAGCCAGAAGGTCTCCAGTAGAACTGGGCCTTGAACATTTGAATCTCTGATTAGATTATACTGATTTTTTTTCCTGTGACACCTGGAAGTAAAAATAGGTCTTATAAGCACTTTTAAAATTAGCAATGCAATCAAACAACTTGCACTTATGGAAAGATCTTATGAGCTTCGAAAACTACCATGCATTGCAAAGGATAATAAAAATATTAATAATTTCCATTTATCAAATATTCTATGCCAGGCATTGTATTATGTGTTTTATGCATATTATGCCTTTCAGTTTTCAAAGCAAACCCATGATATGATAATCTACATTTTACAGAAGAGAAAACTGAAGATCAGAGAGAATTTCCTAGAACTGATGGTTCACCAAAGATCACGCTCTTAACGAATAAACTAAAGAAAGTTGGTAACCGGGAAATAAAAGTTATAGAAAGTTGAGCCATGGGAGTTCAGCTATCAGGTAGGATCCTGGTTACCTTAGCAGTGATTAACCAGTCTTGAGTGGTTATTATTAAAAAATGAGGCCAAAAAGTCAGCATCCAGATTTTAGTGTGCCTAAGAGGAGAGGGCTGGTTAGGGAGGGAACGCATGCTTTACTTACACATATTAAAAGCTATGTGGGAAACACGTAATGTCAAAAACAATGTCAGACAACTCACAATGAAATTTGAAGCTATTAATTTGAAAAATTCCATTTCGGAAATTTACTGACTTTGACTTACTTGCATAACCAGAATTTACTAACACAGAAATAGGTGTAATGCAGATTGTGCTCTAACCTTCTCTCCACCTTCCTTCTTCCTACAGATAAAGCAGATACTTCATCCTGCTCTGAGAACCAACAGTAAGTGATAATTCATTTATTTTAATGTGAACATTTTGTCAATCATTTTTATTTTGCCAATGGTAAAAAGATATAATTAATAAATTTATCCATGATTTTCAAACTGTATGGATAAATTTTTATTGATAGAATGATATGTTAATTTTACTCTTTTACTCACTATATCAAGTCGAAACTTAAATGAATTTTCACATATCATTCTAAAGTAGATAATATAAATAATTCTCATGTTTATCACTTTGAAACAATTATACTAGAACTGTCTTTAATAGAAAAATGTAAAAGTATGACAATTTTGTATATATTGTATATACCTCCATAGTAGTGATTTTTACTATGAACATATATGGTTATGTATTAATACAAGGATTGTTAAAATAAGGATAGAATGTCTCCATTGTGCTGCAAAACGATTGCTTTTTGCCAGTTGAAACTATGTTCCTTTCAATGTCCATTGTCATAATGTGAGTCATAATTGGATGAAGGCTAATTTCTGATATTGCTTAAGACCTTACTATTGGTATAAGTTAAGTAACTGTTCTAAGCCTCAGTTTCTTCACATGTAAAATATAGTCAGACCTATCAAGGTCTGAGAGTGAAATTAGATATCGTATTTTACCGTACATGGTCAATAAATCTTCATTCCTCTCCCTCTTATGAGCACGTTATTTAAGTTAAAGGGAATACATGAAACAGGTATAAATTGTCTACTATTTACAAATCAATAGGGCCTGAGAAGTACCACAGATAAATTGTGTAGAATTGCTTTACTTCCAAGAATTTGAGAGTACCAGTCTCACACAAAGAAAACTAATCAAGGCAGCATTCCTTCAGTTTACAAAGTGAGCAATTTATATGACTAATGGCAAGAAGTGAGTGCTTTCTAAATTTAGTGGTGGTGTTGCTTCATCTATAGGACCAAGGATCTTTTTGACACACTGAGAAAGGACAACATGGGCAACCCAATGCTGAGTGTCTTTTAAAAAGTTAATATAAAACCGTTGTACCAAATCATGGACTCAGCAAATTTGAACACGCTAGATTTTTAAACATTAATTGTATTTGTATTTTTTCTATACTGGGAAATTTGAAAATATAGACCAGTGTAAGGAAGAAAATAAACATAACTTCTAATCCCGCCATCAGAGAAATAACCACTAATAAAGTGTTTGTACGTTTATTTCTGTGTAATCACAACCCTGGAATTTGATTAGAGTCACGTGTAAATAAAAGAACAAACAGTTCTACTTTTCATAGAGAAGAGCAAACCAAGAGATGGTACACTTTGAAAATAAATTCCTCCAAAATTGAGATGCATAATTAATCCAGTACCATAATTAACTATGAAGAAGTCTGTTTTTTCCTTATTTTCTTTTTGATAGGCCTTAGGAGCAATGGAACTGGGCAGAAAGAAGGTGGCATGTCCCTAGTCTTTATAGGTATACTTCAAGGGTATCAGTCAAGTTCTTCAGTTTATTTTTTATTGTCCCTATCAGAGACAAGGTTGGTTCCTCTATGGTTCTACTGGCACCATATGACCAACTTCTCTTGTTACATTATTTATGAATTTGAGAATCACAGTTCCTTTGAGATAACCAAGATCATTACATTGGTTTTCCTCTCTTGCTCAGAGGTCCATGCACTACATGTTTCAATGCAAACCTTTGTTCTCTTTGACTTACTTCCCAGCAATGGCTTTACTCCCAGTGGTGGTGTTTTTGGCTGCTCTGTTGCTTCCATCTTTACCCACAGAAGGAAAGGTAAGGTTAAAGTGGAAAATCTTTCCAGAGCTATCCAGGCAACTTTGTAGGATGGCAAGGTACTCTGAGAGTGGAAGGGGCAAGAATGTCTGGTACATCACAAAGTACTCGTTGGTAGCTCAAAGCACTTAAGACAGTTATCTAGATGAAAGTCTGAGGCTGAGCTGTCCAATACAGTAGCCACTAGCCACATGTGCCTATTGAACACTTGAAATGTGGTTTGTCTAAAATACGATGTACTATCAGTATAAAATACACATCAGATTTCCAAGATTTATTACAAAAAAAAGACAAAAATATCTCATTAATAATTTTTATATTGAATACAGGGTGAAATGATATTTTGGATAATTAATATATTAGGTTCTTAGGGCTGGTGTAAGAAATTAACACAAACTGGATGGCTTAGAACAACAAAAATTTATTCTTTCACAGTTCTGGAGGCCAGGAGTCTGAAATCAAGATATCAGCAGGGCCATACTCCCTCTGGAGGATCTAGGAGGGAATTTATTCCTTCCTCTCTCCTAGCTTCTGGTGGCTTCCAGCAGCCAGAACACCACTTCTTGGTGTTCTTGGCTTGTGGTTGCATCACACCAATCTCTGCCTCCATCTTCACATCACCTACTCCTCAATGTATCACTTACAAGGACACTTGTCATTGGATTTAAGGCGCACTCGGATAATCCAGGAGGCTCTCATCTCAAGATCCTTAACTTAATTAAATCTGCAAAGACCCCTTTTCCAAAGGTCATGTTCACAGATTCTGGGGATTGGGACATGGACATATCATTTTTGTGGACTACCACTCAACCCGTTTCAAATAAAATGTATTATTTAAATTAATATCACCTGTTTCTTTTTACTTTTTTTAATGTGACCACCAACAAGTTAAAACTACATATAGTGCTTGAATTATATTTCTAATGGACAACTGGTCTATGAGTTTAAAAAGCTAATGATAGTCCTCCGCCCTCAAGATCTTTTCTGATTTTTTTTATTTAGTTCATTTCATTGTGATCCCCACAGAAAATTAACAATGTATTTACACAACTAAAGAAGCACAACTTCTTTATATATCACCACATTTAATTTTCATTACTGTATGACAAAATTATACCCGTTTTTTACATTAAAAAATATAAATCTAAAGCTCTTAGTGTTTTCTTTTGCTTTGTTTTTTAATGGTCATAGACTTAGTATATGAGAGCCCAACTCTTGAACTCAAATCCTCTATTTTGAATATGCTACTTTGCTTAAATAATCCCAAGAACAAGATCAATTACCTTCTTCAGTGATTGCTGGGTAGGTGCCCATATAAGGTGTCTATCTCCTGATCAGAAAACCTCTGAATGTGAGGAACTTTGGTCATTGCTGTCTGCTCCCACACTCTCCTTTAACTCTGGGAATATAAGAAGAGCTAGGACGCCTCAGACCAGAGAATTCTGACACTGGGTCAAACCTCATTGGGCATTCAGAAATGTAGTCATTATGTTACATAATCAAATTTTCAATCTGAAGACAATTTATTTATCACCTAGGGCTTCATTCAAGTAGTTTGCTGTCTTCTCAATTTCTTTCCTTTCATGGCCCTTTCTAATCCCCTGTTACCTTTGTAGTCCCCCTCCTGATCTTCACTTATAAAATTATTTAAAGAGGTATCATTTGGTCTTTTGCACCACTAGATGTTTGTTGATCAGATGCTCTACATACCCTCTGCCCAGTGTGGTTTTCAGTGCCTTCTGAGGATGCCCAGAAAACACTATTCACCCTTCAAAACCCCAATCCAGACCATCTTTTGTGAAGCCTTTCCTAACCTCAGTCAAGAAGAACTGATCCCTCCTTCCTCTATATCTAGTAGATCCCATCTCCCATTTCAGTCATCATGTGGTGATGTAATTATTTATGTCATACTGCCTATCCAATATAAACTCTTTAAGGAGATATAGATACTCTGTTTGATCCATTTTATTCTCAACACTTTTCATATTTCCCGTCACCTAATAAAAGCTTCATTGATACTCATTAAAAAAAAAGGCACATCTTCACTAGAAATTTTATCTACAAAGCAAGGTGGGGTAAGAGGCAGAAAATAATTACTTTTTTCAGAGACAAAATTTTGCTGTGCTTTGAAATGAAACTACTTTAAGCAGGTTTTTGATGGTCAATAGGACATATCCAGGGATGTTATTTTACGCTTTGCTGTAATGCAGAGATTAGTCACAACTGATATTTCATGTGTGCATCTTTTCTAACTCAGGAATCAGTAGCTGAGAATGTGCTGAATCTGTGGGCACAATGGCATTCACTCTTGTCCTTAAGAACATAGAAACAGGCAGGAGAAATGGGTGCATAAGTAAATAGTGGCAATAAAATACAATCAGACCTGTGTTCATAGTATTTGGAGAGCTTTGAAGGAACTCAGTATTGAGGGGAGGAGAGAATAACTTACCCAAAGATGTCGGGGGAAATCCACAAAGGGCCCTGTCTGTTTAGACTTACACTGTAAACTCTTGCTCATGCTCATATAACATCACACTCTTGTATAAATTTAGGTCATCAAATTACATAAACCTTATAGAACAATTCACACACCCTACTCTACCTCCAGGCTTAGACCCCCTCCCCCACACATACACCAGAAATATCAGCACCCTATTTAATACCCTGTCAGTTCTATTTCTGTTACTAAAAGGGACAAAGTCAGCAATAGTCCATTAATTGGGTGGCTTTGCTCCCTCCAAATTGCCTTGGAGATTTTTTTAATATTGCAAAGATGTCTTTTGAGTGACCTCATAAAATCTACCCACAATAGGTAGAATCATTTTACTAGAATACTGAATGCACTTCAACTGAACCTAAACATTCTTTCACTTAATATGTTCTAAATACATTCTTTCTCTAAATACAGACACCACATCAGGTCGAAGTTCCACTTAAAGTCCAGGATGAATCTTGAACTCCACCCTTATCTCCCCTGCTGCAGCCTGATCGAATGTGAATGAATATGTCTGAATGATCCTATTGTCTTCTGTGTACTTTTGTGGTTACAAAATATTATCACTCATATGCTACAGAAATCACGTTGAGTTCCCTTGAAACTGAAAATTGGCATTTGTGGCATCAGAGAAGTTTTTCCTTTGTCATGCCATGATTTACATCCCCATTCTCAAGGCTTTGAACTACTTCTTTCCTGTTTGTCATGGTTTTGGCTCAGATTCATTGGCAACTCTTAACAATTAATATTGGCTTGAACTGAATGCCTTTTTGTTTTTTTAATTTTATTGAGGTCACATTGGTTTATAATGCTTTTTAAAATATCTTTGTTCCCTTGCATTAACTCATTCACTCTTAAATGCAGTTTTCAAAGATGTAAAAAAATAACCCTGATTTTATTTCCCTTTAGGATCCAACTTTTACTGCTTTGTTAACCACTCAAGCGCAAGTCCAAAGAGAGATTGTCAACAAACACAATGAACTAAGGAAATCAGTCTCTCCACCTGCCAGCAACATGCTAAAGATGGTAAGAGGCAGTGATACAAAGAAAGTGGTGTGAACCAGCGGTGGCAGGAGCAGGTAGCTGGTAACTGACATCTCTTAAGAGCTTTGTGACTTACCAAGTTCTGCCTCTGTTTTGCTGTTTCATTTGAGCTGTGTTACGGGCAGTACAGAAATTAATTTTCCTTTGTAATGGTTAAATGACTTGTCAAAGTTACAGGGCTATTAAGTTGGGAAAGCAGAATTAGAAGCCAAATCTTCACACAGCAAACGTGAAGCTGCTACATTTTTTTTTGTTCACTATCTTTCCTAGTCTAAAATAAAGAAATCCCCTTTCCTTCAGGATCAATGCCATTTAGGGTAAATAATAGCCTGCTTTCCAGGGCATAGTCCATAAAAGCTAGCTGTCTCTCATTTGAACACAATGGGCTACAAATGGAGGTGGGAATAATCTAGGCCAGCTTATCAGTATTGAAATATAATTAAAATACTTCACATGATGATCAGTATTTAAAGTGGCATAATTACTAAAAATCCTAGGTGTGGCTGCTGTGCTATCATAAATAGTCAGATATTATAGATATTATTCTATTAGATACGTCACCTATGGACTTCTCTTTGTGTGGAAACTGGCACTGGAGCAGATAAAGACACACACATACAAAACCAACAAAAGGATATTTTAACCCCAATGACAAGTAGATAATACACCTACAGAAATTTTAAAGTAGTGCAAATCAACCTACCAATGAAATCATAAAGCATATGCTTCGTTGGAGTTGAATCTTTAAGTGCAATTTTTTTCTTGTGACATTTAGGAATGGAGCAGAGAAGCAACAGCAAATGCCCAAAGGTGGGCAAACCAGTGCACTTTAGAACACAGTAGGGCAGAGGACCGCAAAACCAGTACGTAAATTAGTAAATATTTGTTGAATAAATGAACAAATAAAATAATATTGGACAAATAAAATAGAATGGACCATTCTGGGATGTTGCGTTACGAAGATTTTGTGAATAAATGTTGCTTTTACTGCTGTCTTTTTAAAATCAAAGTGTCTGTACATAAAGAGATAACTAAAAGTACCATTTTGTTCTTGTTGATTATTTGCATTATGGAAATAATTTCTTAAGCAATATTTTGTTTGTTCTTCTCAACCAGCTCATGAGTCAATAGGTCATGTATCATCATTTTTCCAGTTTTAAAGATTAGAAAACCAGGATGTAGGAGGAATGACCTACCCAGGAACACAACCTGAAGTAGTATCATATGTTGGACAGTTAACCAGGCTTTCTGATTTCTAACCCATTGCCCTTTTTGTGATATTGTGTAGCTGTTTGGCATTTTGAAATCAATTTTTTTTCGTTTATTTATTTATTTATTTTCTTGTTTAAATTAATTTATTTTTAAATGAGATATAATTGACAAATAACATTGTATTAGTTTTAGGTGTACAACATAATTATTCAATATATGTATATATTGCAAAATGATGACCACAGTAAGTTAACACTTATTACCACACACAATTACAATTTTTTTCTTGTGATGAGAACTTTTAAGTCTTATCAACTTGTGATGATAAGAACTTTGTACTCTCTTACCAACTTTCAAATATACAATACGGTGTTGTTAACTATAGTTGCCATGCTGTACATTAACTCCCCAGGACTTATTTATCTTAGTGGATTCTTTTTTTTTTTTTTTCAACTTTTTGTTTATTGCAGTAACATTGGTTTATAATATTGTATAAATTTCAGTTGTACATCATTATACTTCTATGTCAGCATAGATTACATCATGTTCACCACCCAAATACTAATTACAACCCATCACCACACACATGTGCTGAATTATCCCTTTCGTCCTCCTCCCTCCCCCCTTCCCCTCTGACTTGCTTATTTCAGTTTACATAATGTCCTCAAGGTTCATTCATGTTGTCACATGTCGCATAATTTCCCTCTTTTTTAAGGTTGAATGATAGTCTACTGTATGTATATACCACATTTTGTTTACCTATGCATCTGTCAATGGACATTTAGGTTGTTTCGACATCATGCCTATTGTAAACAGTGCTACAATGAACATAGGAGTGCTAATATCTCTTCAAGATCCCAATTTCAGTTCGTTTGGATAAATACTCAGAAATGGATTGCTGTATGGTTTGGTAGTTCTACCTTTAATTTTTTGAGGAACCTCCCTACTGTTTTCCGTAGCAGCTATACCATTTTGCATTCTTACCAACAGTATACAGGTTTCCAGTTTCTCCACATCCTTACCATCACTTGTCTTCTGTTTTTTTTAATGGGCATCCTGACAGGTGTAAGGTGATACTCGTTGTGGTTTTGATTTGCATTTCACTGATGATTAGTGACGTCAAGCACCTTTTCATATACCTGTTGGCTGTTTGTATGTCTTCTTTGGAGATGTGTCTATTCCAGTCCATTGTGGTCAGAAAAGATCCTTAGTCACTTCCTCAGGCAGCCCCCAGAAAAGATAGATATTTGGACATTCCATCTAACTCGCTCTCTTCCCAGGGAGAGGGTAGGAGCTGGAGTCTTTTGCCTACTTACTCCGTGCTGAACCAGGAAGGGAGACTATAGCAACTGCCAGCCCAAATGTCTATCTGTTCTCACTAGCCCCAGGCAGCCAGATTATGCTACATCTTGTTAGCATTCTGAGACAGGCAAGTCAGAAGCCACTCCTTTGGGCAGCCTTTGGAAAATTTGTGGCATTGGATGCCCAGACGACCTCTTTCCCTCGCCAAGGAGAAGCAGGAAGCTGTGGTTTTTGTCTGCTTGTCTCATCACAGGATGAGCCAAGAAGAGGAGCTATGGCATCTACCAATCCAAATCGCCATCTCTGTTCTCCCCCACAGGGCAAGAATGTGCCAAACCCATCCGAGCTCCCAGACTAGCAAGACAGATGCCAGTTCTTTGGGCAGCCCTGGAAAACCTGAAGCATTGGACAAGCTCTTTGCCTCCCCAGGGGAAAGCTGAGAGTTAGGAATTTTCATTTGCTTGCTCTGTGCTGAGCCTGGAGGAGGTGTTATGGCATCTACCAGCCCAAGCCACTATCTCCATTCTCCCCCGGGTGGCTAGCCTATGCCCGACTGTCAGAGCTCCAAGACCAGCAAGACAGAAACCAGCACACTGGGAAGTCTCTTTGGAAAAGCTGGGCTGCTGGACACATGAACCGACTCTTTCTCTCCCCCGGGACAATCTGGGAGCTAGGGGGTCTCTTCCCGATCATATGGCACTGCACTGAGGGTGGGGATTCTAGCAAGACGGTGTCCTAATCTCCCTACAGGCTTGAGTGAGTCTGTTTTCATATTGTCCCAGGGTACAGGAGCCTTTCAATTAGTTTTTGGATTTCTCCCAAGGGCATTGTGTTCATGAATTGTAGCTGAATCAGTGTGTTTGTCAGGGGAAGGAGAGTCCAGGGCTTCCTACTTGATCCTCTTGCTGATGTCACCCTCTGCAAGACCTTCTTGCCTAACTCTTTCAGCAGAGTTTGGCCTTGTGACATTCTCATTTATTGATAAAGAGAAGACTCAAATGTTTTGAAAACTGTCTTCCCTCTTGATGTCAGTTACCTCTTGATTGGGGCTCTTAAAGATTGCCTGTAAACCTTTTTTTTCAAAGTTTACACAAAATCATAATGATAACATTTATTCAGCATCCTATATGTGAAAAATCTCTAGTGAGGGTCGGGAAGAGGAGGAGAGAAAGAATAAAAATTGGTGGCTGCCTTTTGCAAGCTTACAATACAAAGCTGAGAGGACAGGAGGCATTACACATGTGAAGAATTTAGCATGAAAAAGAATACATCTTTGACAGTCCAGAGGGAGAAGGATTTTTGAAGAATAAGATCTTCTCAGTCTATTCAAAATTTTCATGTTGAGGCGAGCCTCAAGGCGCTAGATAGATCTGTCTTCTATTCAGCTTCATAGGTGATAAGGAACATAAGCACCTGTTTAATGTATTAATCAATAGTTAGCAAGTATAGACACTTGTTTGAAGGGCAAAAGCATTGTGTTCACGTAGTTGATTTCTTTTTGCCATCAAATGTTTTATTGCTTTCCTCATGAAAGATCTGTTGCTTCTTAGATACCAGATGTGGTGAGAATATCTATATGTCTAGTGACCCTACTTCCTGGTCAACTGCAATCCAAAGCTGGTATGATGAGAGCCTCGACTTTATCTATGGTGTAGGACCAAAGAGTTCCAATGCAGTTGTTGGACATTACACCCAGGTAAGGGGAACAAATGAAAATACTTCTGCCACAAATGCTCTAATAGAGAAAGCTTTTCCAAATTATGACCAACTCCAGTGTTCAATTTGGGGGAAGAGCCTGAGTAGGTATAATACATATAGTCTTGGCATTTGGCTGCTACTTCACCTAGAGCTGTCATTTTTTTCCACAACCTGAAAACTCATGGTAGGGAAGTACACTCTGTACTTTTCCAGCGTTATAAATGGATAAAGTAGTGAATGTACATGAAAATGTAATATTTTAAAAGTTTGTGACTTTGTTTCAGTAATTTAAATATTTCCATAGGTACATGGCTACAAACTATAATAGTAACAATTTTTCAGTTTTATATTTGCTACTATTTGGGTTTTTTTAGTATTTTTCCTCTTCTTTAATGCACTGTCATATATTCCCTTATGGATTTGTAGGCTGTTTGGTACTCATCTTACCTTGTTGGATGTGGAATTGCCTATTGTCCCAATCAAGAGAGTCTAAAATACTACTATGTTTGCCAATACTGTCCTGCGTAAGTATACACTTAAGAGCTTAATGCCAATAATTTCATCTGCGATTTAATATTTTAAAACTCTCATATATTAAACAAACCGGAATAAAAGCCTATTTCAGTAAAAGGAAAGAATGAATCCTTGGAAATGCTCTTTAAGCTGAGATACATTCAACTTATCTGAGAAGAAATCAACTTCTCAGTTCCGAGTGTAAAATCTGAAGCTATCTTTCCTCAATTATAAATTGATGTCTTTTCTCTTAATCACCTTTACCCAGGACTCAAGGTTATTCCATGAGCATGTGTAGTGTGTATTTCTCTGGATTTCATATCATCAGTTCTCGTTAGTTTCACACTCTAGGAAGGTGGAAGCTTGATGGTTAGGCAAGGGGTGGTAGTGGAGTGGGAAATAGGGGATGGCAAATTGTGATTTCAGCCCTGTCTGCTAAAATGTTCCTACTCCTGCTTTAAAAGCCACTTACATTAAGAAATGATTCATTCTTTTGGGTCTCAAATGTTTTTCAAGAGATCTTTGATATATTTCAGAATCCAGAAAAAGGTAACATCTTAAGTCTTTGTTTCTCAGAAGTTTTCACAAAAGGCTCCATAAGGAACCATCTGTTAAGGTCTTGATTTATAGCAGGAAACAAGCTCTTTTATCAAGCAATATGTTATCCACAATAAACCCTATGGATAGATTGAAGATCTAAACTTAGCATATCTGTTAGTCTTAATTTCTGTTAATGTTTGAAATTCCTTACCACTGGAGGCAGAGGGAAACCTCCTCCAAGATTTATTTTGAGGCTGTAGATAACCTGGGGATATGGATCTCCAGTTTGAGAAGTATGACCTCCAAAGTCATTTTCCTGCAAGTCCCTATTAGGTAGGGTTTAGTAGAAGCAATTGAGAGGTCTGAGGAGAAAGCATCCAAACTCACTGCCTGGCCGTGAGGGGGAGGCATCTGAAGCCAGGCATCTGAAGTTAGAGCTGGAGTGAATAATGAGAGAAAGCAGGAGTGAGAGAACTTCCACAGCACTTTTATATCTATTTCAGTTTTCCCAAGGGCTCCCACACATACAACTATATTCTCTACAGGGAGACTGAGATAGAAATGCATCGCCTTGGGCTCTTGGCCAACTTGACACTATTGAGATTTGCACTCCCATGTATTTTCAAATGAATTAAATGGCCAATAGGATAATGATCATCGGTGAGTTACAAGTTAGTCACTGAAGATGATTACACTCTAGATATTGGTATTTATCAAAACCTTTTTAAATTAATATTTTTGTTTTTGGTAAACATAAAAATCTCTCACACACCACCTCTAGAAACTCACAGACCTTTCCCCAGATCTCCCTGCCCCAAAACACACACGCCAACTACTTAAATATCACTACCACCACCTAGAGGTCAAAAATATATACACCGGAACTTTACTGTCCCTAGTTCTAATGTTAGAAAAATTATGGTATTTTATCGTCTTTCAAGTGTAAAATGATATTGTAACATTGAGTATTCTTTTCCATACTGCAACCCCCTGCCCCCAGGACCTTATTCTCTCTTTCTAGAAGGTATGTTCTACCCCTAGGCAGCACATTGGGGTGTACTGCCTTACGGATTTGACTGAGTCTATTGGGAGATGAAGTGTGTCGCCACATTGAAATATACTCTGAAAACTTTAGACTCTAGTATTCCAATTTGGTTGCTCGGCCTGCAGAATTATAGTCAAGCAGAAGGGTCAATGTGTTAAGTATTTTCTTAACTTGTACATTATCTGAACTACACACTGGGAATAGTAATGCTTCGTTTTGTTAACATAACTAAAAACATTTAATAACTATGTATGTTTGGTGATCGATGCTGCCCTTGGAGTAGAAACTAAACAGCAAAGTGAAAAATATTTAACACTGTGTATTTTAAATTTCAGTGGTAATAATGTGAGTAAAAAGAATACCCCTTACCAACAAGGCGCACCTTGTGCCAGTTGCCCTGGTAACTGTGACAGTGGACTATGCAGTAAGTTTGAAGTGATTAACTTGCTATTTTAACAAAGACTTGATACTGTATTTTCTTCTTATGGATTAAGAAATCTCCTTAAGTAACCGATTTAAATAATGTCTTTATGCAAAAGATAAAATGATGACTCAACAGAGTGTGTGTTTAAGTAAACATTTAAACCCTTCAATAACCTACATATTATTTGTAATGAAAAGAATATTACCATATGTAAGATAATAAAACATCTACCATCGATGTGTTTTTGTGACTATGCAGAGCTCAGTAATATTAACTATACATGGTTTTGGTAAATAGTTCACTTCATCAAAGTTATTATCATTCTACCAAAGGTCGTATTTTGAAAGAATCAAAATATGTAAATCTAAGGATGTCAGATCACATTATGGCTCAGTCTAGACAGGGAAACCAAATATTATGCTTCTTTGGTGCTAATGAGTTCATCATACTGATTACTTCATTTTTTTTCTATAGTATAATTGGAATCCTAGTGTTTAACTTAATAAATGATCACTTGCCCTATAATTTGATAGTAGTTTTGTGCACATTTTTAATGACAAAATTCAATTTGTATACAGTATTGGCTCACAGAACTCATGAACATATTGTTGCAAAAGGAGAGAATAAAATAAATGTCATGTTTCATTTCTAAAGTTGCCATGAAGAGAAGTAAAAATAGCTGTCAGCTTTTTATAGTTGGGATACTTTTATTTAAATTATTATGAACAATGGAGTTGCCCTGTTCACTGAGATTTTTACCATTCAAGTGAATTCACCTTTGGTTAGCATTCTTTCTGACTGAATTATATAGCTATAATTCAAAATATTGGTCATATAAAAGCTATATATCAACTAAAATGAAAAAAAGTTGAATATTTATACCTCTGCTGAATGCTAAGTAGCTAATTTGCTAAGGAGTTTGGAATTTATCCTATTAACATTAATCACTCAATTGAAAGATTTTAAACAAAACAGTGAGAACGTCAGAATCATGTTTTATAAAAAGATTTTTAACAATAGTATGTAGAAACAATTGGATGAAAGCCACCAAGATAACTGTTGAAAAACATAAGTTGAAACAAATGGATGTCTTGACTGCATTGCTGACAAAATGCATGACGAGAAATGGACAGAGATGAGAGACAAGAAGTCGAATAGCCAGTGTTTGTGACTTGTGCTGGTTGAGTGCTGGTCAGAAGTAGAAAAGGAGTTCTACTTCCTGGCCTAAATTACTGACTAGTCAGAGAGCCATTTCCTTGAGACGGCGGGATGGGTGTAGGTAGACCATACCCAAGAATAGTCAGCCTTGTGGGTAGTGTGATGAGTTTAGTTTGAGATTTGTTGAGTTTGGGGCCCCTGGGGAACATCCAAGAAGAAATATCAGAAAGAAAAGGGGCGTGTTGTCACTGTTTGACATCTTTATCTTCCCATGGGTGTCACTTTCTCCAGAAAGAAAGCACTGGAGTCTAAAGCAGTGCTGTCCAATAGTATGACATGATGGAAATGTTCTCCAGCAGCATATGTCTTACAAATAGCCGCTAGTCACGTGTGACCTTTGAACACTTGAAATGTGGCTAGTAAGATTAAGGAACTAAATTTTTAATTTTATCTAATTTAGTATAATTTAAATTTAAATAGCTACATGTGGCTAGTGGCTCCCATATTAGACTCTGCAGATGTAGAGAGATTTATTTATATTCATTTTACTCTCTTTGCTAACGGAGAAAAGTAGGTCAATTCATTTTAGAAACATATCACCAAATTCAAAATAAAAAAATGGTGAATTAATCAGTCAGCTCAACTAAGACATTTCATATGTCCCTCAAGAAGTGAAAGGCCCATCGTAGTGTAAGTGACGCTAACCTGTTTGTCCAGTGCTAACCCCACCCCCGCCATGCACTTTGAACGTATGGATTGTGTTGCTGCTACTGAGGATAATGATAATGAGGTAACTAATCTGTCTTTGTTACAGCCAATAGTTGCGAGTATGAAGATCTCCTTAGTAACTGTGATTCCTTGAAGACAACAGCTGGCTGTGAACATGAACTGCTCAAGGAAAAGTGCAAGGCTACTTGTCGATGTGAAAACAAAATTTACTGAAATGCCCAATGTGCATTTTGCAGGACTAAGCGGAGAAGGGCTACATCCTTTAATTGACACATACCAGAGGGGAAATTGTAGGCATGTTAGTTACAAAGTTGATTCCAGACAGTAATGCATCTTTTTCACTTGGATCTTTGTAGAAATCTCTTACATACAACGATATACAAAAGCAGCATAGTCTGTGATGACAACTTTGGACTTGGATATAAATTTGGTACTTCAAATTGAATTAATTGAATCAAGTTGAAGATTTTGAAAGTTGTATAACCACAGGACTTAAGTCACTAGAACTTTGGATTAAAACGAAGAATTACATGTTTCCTGAAACAATATGCCAAAAAAAAAAGACTATAACATCATTGCCATTCCTGTTGCATGATTTTTAACACGTATAAAGAATGAATTCAGAGACTGACATCTATCTTTGTCTTATGGCCCCTTCTTTAAACAACAGTAATCAGCTTTCAGAATAAAGAACTTATCTAAGCAACCATGTAGATGTGATTCTTGTGCAGTATTTTATCGTATTCATTATTAACCCCAGCTAGACTCAGCCCAGAAAAATGGTTATACAGGGCAAAATTTCCAAAATATTTGCCTATAAAATTAAACTTTAACAAAAAAAAGGAATAAGTTCTATTCTTACTTGCTTTTTGCTTTTTGACATTTTGATCTCCTCCTTTCTGGTTTAGTTGATAAATTTTAGAAAGAGCATTATTTGACAGCATATACAAATACAGCTTAACAACAAAAAAAAAGAGCAACAATAAATGTTTTAGAGAGATTTATCATTTATAAGTCTTTGCGTACATTCTCATTTAAGATTGATAACAACAAAGTATAGTAGACCCATTTTATGGATGAGAAAATAGACACTAAAAATCTAAAAACAGTGAAGGAAGTGTTGAAAGTACTCAGGAAATAGATCTGGCCAGACAAATGGTGTACTAGCATGAGCCACTGATGCCTCCAGGATGAAATAAATTATCTGAATCATCCTATACTTGTTAAAGAAATTGAATTCAGAATTCTAAAGCTTCTAATAGAGAACTTTCCAGGCCCAGATTGTTTTACTAAAGAATTATGGCAAACATTTAAAGAAGAATTAATACAAATTTTACACAATCTCTTCCAGAAAATAGAATAGGAAGGAATACTCCTCAATTCATTCTTTGAGACTGGTATTATCCTACTATTAAAACCAAAGACAATACAACAGGAAAAAAAACATAAAACAATAGTCCTTTGACTGCATTTTGCAGATGAGTAAACAGGGATAGGAGGGTTAGGTACCTTGTCCAGATATAAACAGCCAGCAAACTTAGCATACTGAGAGCACAGACTCTACCCCAATATAGCCTGACAAAAGCCTAATGTTTTTAAGCAAGACACAATGCTGTTTCCCGATCTAGACCAAAATTAATTGAGAAAAGTTGGGATTAAAAATGTATTCAAATTATTGAGTAATTTGCAAAGAAAAGTTTCCTTTATATAAAGTTCTTAGATTGCTTTTTCTATACTCATGGACATGTGTTTATTTTCAACAATGTGACATTTAAGCCTTGTAGTTCAGTGGCAGGCATAGAATACCTCCCTATAACTTCATAAAATTACATAGTGACTCAAACCTATTGACTTCTATTTCTGTTCTCTTAAAAACCTATTCCGCAATTATAAAAAAGTTGACAAGAAGTAGCTTAAACCTTGAAGAGTATTGATTGAGTGAGGGCATGAGGGAGCCTTCTGGAATGCTGGTTACACAGCTGTATTCACATGTAAAAATTAAATTGGCTGTATATTTTTAAAATTTTGTGTACTATATTGTATACAAGTTATGCAGAATAAACAGATGCAGAAAAGAAGGAAGGAAGGAAAAAATGAAAGAAGGAAAAAAAAGAAATAGATTACCTATTCTGGTAATCTATTTATGCATATAAATCAAGATTGATCTCATTTTATAAAACTACACCTGTGTGTGTGCCCAGAGTTCATCTGAATGCTCAGCAGAACTTCATTAAATTCTTATTAAAACATGGGACTGTTTGCAAATATTATTATGGGTACTTGAAACTGGTTGAAAAAAATGCTAATTAGAGGGAAAATATCAATCTACAGTTCCCTGTATTTGCTTAGCATAAACTTCTGACCTTGATTGGATGCTATTAATCAATGCTTCCAGTGACTTCTATGCGAGCAGGCAATTAGGCAGTGCATTGGGTCAGCGCTGAGCAACCTCTCAGGAATTTGTAAATAAAATTTTATTCCTTAGTTAAACCAAGTGATGTTATCAATTTTAACAGAAATGTTTGAGAAGCCCCAAAACTCCTGTCAAGGTAACCTAGATTAACTCTCCTGAAAATGAGATTGGAATGTAATTATAATTTATTAAATTGAAACTTAATAAGGACAGGCTATGTAATTAGACAGTGCGGGTCAGTGTAAAGCAGTGGCTCTTAAAGAGTCATCCCCCAACCAGCAGCATCAACTTCACCTGGCAACTAATTTAAAACCCACTGAATCAGAAACGGGGGAGACCCAGCCATCTGTGTTTTAACACGTCCTCCACTAAATCACATTGAAGTTCAAGACCAACTGGCCTATGGCATAGAATAGGGAAGGCAGACACCGAATTTGGCAGACTCCAGTGTAGTCATTAGGGGTCAGTATTCCATGTGGGCCAAGGCTCTTTCGTTAGCCCCGTCATGACTTGAATGACATACCTCTCAAAACTCTTTGCCTTTGCTCTCATTTTGTGTTCACAAAGCAACTTTTTTATTGCATGCTTGACCTTCGAATTACCCTGTCACTGTGAAGGAGGAGCCTTACTGGGGGACATAATTATCCTAAACTTGGACAGATGGCCAATACTTTAAATGACAGAATCAAGGGGAGCAAGCATTGAAAAGCTGGAATGTGGCATCAACTAAGATAGAATTGAGATTCAAAAATCAATTGTGGAAGAACGAGGTGAGTGATACTGGGTTCATGAGTATCTCCTTTGAAAAAGACCTAGAGCTTTTCATTAATTGCAAAAGTGACTTATGACAACAGTATGACTGCACTACCAATGTGTTGATGTAAGCCTAGAGAGTATTTATAGGAAAATGTTCCCTCGAGGCAAATAAAAAGCCCATTCTACTGTGCATTGTAGAGAACACAACCAGAACGTTATATTCTATTCTGGCGTCAACTTCTAACAGAGTACTTGAACTAGGGTCCAAAGGACATGAGAGGGAGGTGAGGTATAGGAAAACCGTTATCATCCATCAGGACATCCACAGAGCCATTGAAACCCCAATCCTACAGCATCCCACATACATGAGCACAGCTGCCTCTCACTCAGTGATCATTTCTGGGAGTCAGAGCCATTCCCATGCTTGCTTTGGATTTGGCACTATGAAATGTTTAGTGGTCACCTGTCTCCCTTAGCAGGTAACAAAGCTCGGTAGAAGGAATTAAAGGTGCTGACTTGTTGTTCCTGCTTGAGGTATGGTGATCAGAAGCTGTCGGCAGGGGTTGGCTCTAATGGTAAAACATGTGACAGTGACCTCAGGCTGGAGATTCTTCTCTCTTACCTCCCTCTCTTTAAATCCTGATGCTATCAGGTTTGCCCCTCTACAATTACAAATATCCCAGCCACACAGAAGAAATAGAAGGAGCAGGGAAAGCTAGTTATGATATGAGACGGCAAGCCTGACTGGCCACAGTTAACTTTGTTTTTCTTCCAATTCTCAGATATTAAAAAAAATGAGTCATACATCTATCAAGGTTCTTTTCTGGAAAAGATGTAATCCGATGGAAATTTTTAGTTCCCTAGAGCTTCAGAGGAGTTGTGTACCTATAGAAAAGCAAGGTCTATTGTCGGACTACACTTTTTGTAATGTGGCCCCATGCTGAGACTAGGATCCCACACTGCTTAAGCGGGTTGTGTATGCCTTATCAACCTGGTCAGGTTACATGAGTTCTTTGGAGTCATGGATGACTTTTCTAGTGTTCTCTAAGGCACCTAGCACCCTGTAGAACAATACTTGATGTTCAGTGAATATTTGTTGTGTTGAATTATTTTTAAACACCTTTTCCAGTGTTCTATTTTTGTTTTTAAATTCTGGATGCATTTTTGGTGTACTCATCCTGCAAGTATGAGATGTCAGAGCTTAAAAGGACCTTCAGAGGTTCTATGGCCTACACTCTTTTTAGAGACGAGAACACTGAAACCCCAAAAGAGGAGGTTACAGAGATGATTAGTGAAAGTAATGAGTCTAACATTGATTCTAAAGCCAGGCTCCCTGACTCCAGTTTCAATCATTGTTCCACTAAAACTATACTTATTATTGAGTATCATCATTTCTTCTGTATCTACCATAATCATACTTGCCTTCATTACCTATTTCTTTATTAAGTACCGATCTCTTACAAGATTGTCTTCTGAGCTTTCCTTACATTTCTTCAAATATATCTTTATTCATTATTAAATTTGGTGTGTATGTAGCTAGAACTCTGTTGAGTACCCCACACCCAGTACTCTGCTTGACATTAGCTACTGAGTAGTAATTTAATGAATGGTTACATGAGGAAATAAGTAAATGAATGAGAAAATAACTGAATAATTGTACAGGACTGTATTTTGTGAGACTGACATATTTTCATTTTTTTTTATTGATGTTTTAATGGTTTCTAACATTGTGAAATTTTGGGTTGTACATTTTTGTTTGTCCATCACCACATATATGACTCCCTTCACCCCTTGTGCCCACCCCCCACCCCCACTGCCCTGGTAACCACAGTCCAGTTTTCTCTGTCCATGTGTTGGTTTATATTCCACATATGAGTGAGATCATACAGTGTTTGTCTTTCTCTTTCTGGCTTATTTCACTTAACATAATACGCTCCAGGCCCATCCATGTTGTTGCAAATGGGACGATTTTGTCTTTTTTTATGGCTGAGTAGTATTCCATTGTATATATATACCACATTTTCTTAATCCAATCGTCGAGACTGACATATTTTAAGAAGCCAAAGAATTCTTTACCAAAGAGTCCTTTGGCAAAGAAGTATTTATTGCCAAAGAAATCCTTAATGTATTTCCTGCTACAATTGTATGCAAAAGAACACAACCTGCTCTTCAACTTCTCAAAAATAAAGAAGAGAATAGTTGTCATCTCCACCTATTTGGTAAATACAGAACATCACTTCTATTTTCATGGGGAGGAAGGAATAAGAGCCAACTTCCCTTTGAAACACAATAAATACAATGAAGAAACATATATAAAGGAATCATGAAAGCTTAGTTGATTCCCAAGTTTTCTCTTTCTTTAATGCTATGTTTATTATTTAAAAATAAGCTGATATGTTGGTTGTTTCGCACATGTAAAATTGAAAGACAAAGTAAAACATTTAGTTTTACTAAAGCATTATACTAAA